TACTCCTTCCCTTCATCATAACAGGCTCAGTCTGCCCAACTCTCTCAAATGTGGCCTCCTTTCCTGACATCTTCTCTTATTTTCCCAACTGAACATGGAGTCTACTCCCTTTGCTTCTAGGGTTCTCAATGTATATTATCACTTGGCACTCACCACCATACTGCTGTGATGTAGATAATTAAGCAGTGTCATATTTCACTACTAAGTCAAAGTTCTTTTTGTGTTAGAGACTGCCTTGTTCACTGTGACTCCCCACATAGTAGTATAGTGTCCCATCTAGTAGTAATTGTATTCATTAATTAAGTACTCAATAAACATTTGATGAACACAAAAATCCTACAATAATTTTTTTATCCAGATTACACAACTTTGGAATTTAATTTCTTAAATTTCTCTCCTTAAAATGTATCTGCACCACCTAATATTTCTAATTAGTTTTCATCAGATATTGCCACTAGAATGTTAGATATTTAAAGTCAAGAAGGCATTGTGTACATGTCTTTTTATATTTATTTTCCCATTAGCTATTAAGTATCAAATTAAAAAGAAAACACAAAATCTCTTTAGTGGATTAAATGAATGTTCTATAGACATCATTAAATTGGGGTTTTACAGATTTCCTTTAACTGGGGTAATGTTACATATACCTTATCAAAATGGACTAACATGATTCAATAAGAGGAAAAAGAAAGCTAAGATTTATTAAGTACCAACTATGCGCAATATAAAACATGAAGTGCTTTGGATTTGTAATCAACATTGACCTGTGTTCTCATACAATGGTACTCGATCCAGATTCAAAGAATGATACTGTCCATGGGGCAGAGTTAATGTAATTTACCTGTTAAAGTCATGTTTACTGTAACCCATCAAACTATATCAACTGATTGATAAAAACATTTTCCAAATACAGTCTGAGTTTGTAGGCAATGGCATTAAAAGATGCTTTTGTGTGTATTGGCAAAAATTATGTACACCACAGCCATCTAATAAACTAATAACAGTGATGTCTGTATCTTTTATTATATAATATATTTGGCAAAGCTAATGTTTTTGGAATCTTCTGAATTAGTAAAAGAATAAATAGACGTTTGCATCTGGAGAAATGTGGTCTGCAGCTTTGTTCTGATTTCTGTATCTAGTGCCAGGTATCCATAACCTGGGGTGGGGTGTTACTTTGGTAAAATAGATCATTACTTATTCTCAAAAGAATGCTCTATTTCAGGACAATGCTATTGTTAATGGGAGTTTGATTTTAGTGACTAAATGCCAAGAATGTTTTAAAACATTCTGTTATCCTTCCCATCAATTTAGATCAACCAGACATAACGTATGTGAGAAGTTTTCTAAATTTTTCAGCAATAAAACTGAGATGATGAAAGCTTTACTTCCCCTCAGATATCATCCAGTATTGGTAACCAAGTTGTTTTCATTCTTTCTTTTTTATTGTTTAAGGCTGGAGTGTATTACTCTTGTGATACTTGCCAAAGTTCTATGACATCATTGTTTGAAACTCACCATATGTGTCTTTGATCCCTGCCCAGTAGGTACCTTGGCTATATGCCAGTTTGGCACTTACTACTATTACAGTTTTGATTTTTTTTTTCATTTGCTTCTGATTCTATCCATGTTGCCATCACACAGACTCTTAAATAATCATTTTTTGGGAACAAAGGAACTCACAAGATAAGCTGTTTTAACTTGACCCTTCTCCCCCAGGACTTGGCACTTGAGGGGATTGATATGGTTAGTCTACCTGGTTTGGGGTTGACTGCTCTCTGGAATACAAACCCTTTCCCATTCTGTTTTTTGAGAGCCTTTGTTTAGGATAGAAGCAAATCACAACTCTGTAATTTATTGTTGTCATTTTATAAGAAGAGAGAGGGAGAATAATGGGAGTGGGTATTAAGAGTATGTGGCTTCAGTTTAGTTTTCTTTCTTTTGGATTAAGATATCAGAACTATATTGTAAGACACTCAGGTTCTTCAGGATACATTTAATGTTCTTAGTTTAGTTCAGCATGTCTTGGCTCCTACCTTCCCTTTCCTAAAAGGGATAGAAGCTCCAGAATGTATTGAAAAAAATATATATATGCAAATACAATAACCGTAGAAAAATGTACAGGCTAGAATTGTGGTAAATATTATAACTGTAACTAATACAAAATAATATTGAATGTAAACCTGAACTGAAAAGTAAAATTGAAAGGGGCCAAGCTCCCATCCCAGATAATCTAAAATCAGCACTGCACCATGTTGGTGACTTTCAAGGAGAAAAGAAGAGCAGTGAAGAGAAGTCAACTGAACAGAGACAGTGGATGAGACCGTGAGGTGTAACATTTCTGGTTGATAGAACGGATTTGGGTGGGAGATTAAGGAGAGAAGGGAGTCAAGAAGAATTCAAGAGAGACAGGTAAAATCGAATGTTTTGCCCATAATATAAAAGTTATTTAAGGTCACTACAGAATCCAGGAAATGTAGTTTCTTTTAATTTGCAATGAACTTTTGTATCTTCCGTCCTCTGTTTAAGTGATTGAAATGCAATGAAATGCAAATATCTTAGTCCCATAATGCAGTGAAAGTAATGTGAAATCCAGATCAGGTATGCCACTGACACATTTGTGATTTTGTTTTTTTCTTTATTGATTTTAGAGAGAAAGGACGGGAGAGGGAGAGAGAGTTAGAGACATTGAACATCGATTCGCTGCCTCCTGCATGTCCCCCACTGGGAATTGGGCCCACAGCCTGGGCATGTGCCCTGACCCGGGAATTGAACCAGCACCCTCCTACTGCATGGGTCGATGCTCAACCACTGAGCCATACTGGCCGGGCCACATTTGTGATTTTTAACAAGTGATTACTGTTCTGATGGAGCCCAGGTTTCCTAACTTATATGGGGAGAGAGATACATTGCCTACCACACCTGGAACTTTTTAGATTTGCAATAGCAAGGATACATATGGCGAATTTTCATTTTAATCATAAAAACAGGTAAGATGTACACAATAAATATTAACTATTCAAGTTTAGGCATTGTAAACATTTATGATTAGATTTAACATTAAATTCTATTTTCCAGCAAAAGCACATCCATTTTCACTCCCTTTTAACTTCTAAGATTAAGCATTCTTAAGGTATTTGGTCTTTATTACTGCTAACAGTTTTGGTATTTACAAGAACTGTATTTTAAAACTTTTAGTTTTTTGCATTTTTCCTTATGAAATGCATTAAAATACAACCATCAGTATATATTTTCATATTTATAAGATTTTTAAAAAACACTAAATTAATTGGGTTATGTTTTTTAAAAATCTTTCATATTCAGAAACCTGCTAAGCAGTAAAGTTTAAATCTAGCTGTTCTTTTTCTCAGTAGCAGAGGATCATACCACAATTTGGCTGATCTTAGAGGTCATATTCTCCTGAAGTTTAGACCTCAATTTTAATCATCAAAATTTTTTCAAGTTTTGAATGACTGACCCCATTACAGTTACCTTGCTAAAGTACTGTTGTTCAAATTGGATCCTTTTAAATTGTACCATGCTCTCTGTTATAGAATTACTACATGGGAAGGAAAATGCTAGTAGGTATTGATGAACCTGAATGCTGCATTTCAGCTGTGGTAGAAAAATAATTAACAGCTGAGCTCTGCTGAAAACAGCATATAATATTTTGTCCTGTGTATATATACCTATAAAAGAGTCATGTTCAAACAAGTAATAATTGGAATTTTTGGTGCTTTAGAGCATTTTAAAGGCGTCTAATAACTGCATGACTTCCCTTTGGCAGCACAGAGCATGTTCTCAAAGGTGACTGCAGTTAAAGCTGAGAGGCCTAAGATCCCCTCATCCCTCCTTGACCATTTTACTTTGTTCCACTAAAGAATCCACAGGACACCTCTCCCATGCTTTGCCTTTTTTTGTCCTAACTCCTGATTTCTATTGCTAGTGCTAGTCACACCACCTTTACAAGTAGTAATGATGGTTTGTTTCTTCTGGGTATTATATTACGTCTAAGTGTGTTCATACTATGTTTTACAAGTTAATATTTGTGCCCTTTCTTCTGGTTGTGCAGTTGTGTGTGCTGCAGTCAGCCCCTGATTTGTATTTGTTGCAGCAACTGGTGGGGCTGGCTCGTGCCCCTAGCCATGCACAGGTGGCTGCACAAGACTTTTCTTCATGACTTCGTCTATTCAGTCGAAGGCTGCTGAACCCGCGGTGAAGAGTTTTCGAGTGGGCCGATGTGATGTAAGTGTGCTTGTGAGAGAGGGGGAGGCAGGAGGCGGTCTGTCACAGGACCGTCTTGCCAACCTCCTCCCCACCAAGATCACTCCTATTCGAAAGTCCTAAGATTTCTTTTAGAATTTTCAGTTGCAATTAATTTAGCCTTCAGGGCTTCAATAATTTTGTACCATATGTGTCTCAACTCAATTCCATTCCAGTGCTTCACTTGTTGGGCCAACTTACTGACTTACCACGTTACCTGTGACATTTCCCCGAATTCTGTACCTTCACTATCTCCTTCTTTATTAGGCTGTTGTATATGTGTGTTTTAACCTTGCAAACTGCCTCAAAATATTTTAAAGTCAAGCTTATTGTCATCAAGCTTAAACTCAAGTGAGTTCAATGCTGGACACCTCTACACTAAGCATGAAAGGCTGCAGCTGGTAATGAGCAAACTCACCAACACAAAACACATGCCCTCTTCCTTTTATTAGACCCCTTTCCTTCTCCAGACGATCTGAATCAGGTGAGAAGTCGTGAGTGGGTCGTGTGCAGATGCAATCAGCCCTGCGTGCTAGCCCAACGCAGCGTGGAAAATGCGCCACACCTGAACATCCGTTGACTCAATTCCTTCCTCTCTTCTCCGGTTCCGGTGTTGCCGGCGTCAGCCACAGGTACCTCCGGCGCCCGAGCGAGCGCGGCCGCGGCCGGCTCTGCGCCTTCTCGGGGCCGCAGCTGTGCGCAGAGCAGGGCTGGTGCCCGCCGCCGCGCCGGGGAAAGGCGCGCTCCCGATCGATCGGGCACAGTTTCGGGGGCCTTGCCCGCCCCGCATCTCTTTCCTCCTGGCTCCCACCTATCGCAGACTGCAGCCCAGGCCCCGCCATGGGGAATGTGCCATCCGCGGTGAAGCACTGCCTCAGCTACCAGCAGCTTCTCCGGGAGCATCTCTGGATCGCGGATTCAGTGGCAGGGGCGCTCGACCCCGCGCAGGTACCACCTCGCGGCCCAGGGTGTCCCCACCCCCGTCTTGTCTTGCACACTGCCAGCGGGCCTCTCCCCCTATTATGTCACCTCTGCACCCCAATGCCCTTCCTGCAGCAGTCTGTCGTGTTAGGCCTCACCCCTTACAAGGTTTCCCATCATCTCTCTGCTGTAAACATGTAGACCCGCCCTACAGAGCAAACCCAGTAAAATCCCCACCTATGGCCATTTGCAGGTCCCTAAAGGAAACTGTTCCTTTTGTTTTTCCGTTGGAAGGGATTATATAATATCATTGCTAGTTCTAGGCAGTCAGCCCGAACAACAGTGTCCTTATTTTCAGTTCCTTTCTTGTACTGCGTAACAAAAAGGACACATTTGCCAGAATGTGAGGCAGAAAAAGGGAAGAAGCCAACATGGAAGGTTAGGAAAACATGGTAGGATGAAAGTACCCATCATATCATTAATTATTCATAATTAGCGATGCTTCAACACACTTGGATAAGCTTGGGGGGAAAAAAGATAAAAAACAGCAATTTCAGACCAAAATTTAATTCCATGTGGTTCCCAAAAGCCCATTTTTAGACAAAGGCAATCTAATAGTATCTACACACATGTGATTTAATGCATTGTTAACCAGAAATGGCAGGTAAATGTAGAAAATATACATGAAGACACTTTTCTCTTAAAATTTCACAAAGTAATAACAATTGACAATTGTCACATGAATGTTAAAACATGGCAAAGGGGAGAAATACTGAAGGTTTAGCTATTTTGAATTTTGCTGGATGCAGAAAATGTTGATTCCTGATTTATCTTGGTAACAGAATAATAACTTGTATTATAATATTTTAATAAGCACAATTTTACCATATGGCTTTAAATCAACTATTTTAATGTTATCAACTTTCTATAGTTTTACATTTTGAGTGTTCTCAGTTCAGCATATCAATATATAACCTACAAATATGTAACCTACATTTGTCATTTGTGGATTCTTTAAAAGATGCTTTGCTCCTCTCTTCTTAAAAAGTGGTCATAGTTATATGACTCAAAGCCTCTGCTGACAATGAAAGAAAGTTATTCTTTATCTTCTCATATGTTCATAGCCTTTCTAGTTAATTTTCCTACATTCTGATTTTATCTTTTTTTTTTTTAATGAACTTTTCTCTTAACTTTCATACTCATTTTGTTACATAATCAATTAGAAATTCTTAATGTTTGTTCTCTAAGCCTGAGACTTTATATGACTTTTATTGCTGGGTTAACGTTTTATTTCTCTCTCCCCTGCCATGTTCTGATTTTGCAGGCTTGGGGGACAATAATCATAGCTAGGGTGCTACATGAGGATGATGTGAAAATGACCAGGATGACTGATCAAGGAATGTGAGAAATAGGATTTTGACATCATCATGAAGACTTTTTACTTCTTTTTGAGAAGCAGCAGTACCTTCTCTAAATGTTGCCATTTCATCCCTCAACTTCTTTTTCTGGCAAACTCCTATTCATTCCCCAGACACAACTTAAATACCACTTCATTTGACCAACTCTTTTCTACTTTGAGACTCACAGTCCCATTTCTGGGTTTTTATGGCATTTTATACATAGTTCTGTTTTAGTCCCAATCTTAGTGAATTATATTTTTTTATGCTTTGTCTGATTTGAACTCATAGCAGTATTGACACCTGACACATGACTCTTTGAAATATATCGCCTTCTTTAGCTTCTGCTTAACAACACCCCACCTCTCTGGTCTCTCAGTTGGAATCAGACTGGCTCAATGGCCTGTATCTGTCTAAATGTTCGGTTGTTGGTGACTTCTTATCCACACTCATAGTTTCAGTTACTATTTCTATATCAATGTCTCCCAGATTTATATTCCCATCTCTTTTAAGTTCCAGTCCAGATGTATAGCTACTCACTTGACATTGTTGTTTGGATATCTCAAAAGCAATTCAAACTCAACATTTCCAAAATTGAATTTATGGTCTCCCCTTTAGAATCCCAGACCTCTAATGTTTTCTATCACAGGAACACCATCACAATTCATTCAGTCCTGCAAGCCACAAACTGAGAGCTCCTTATTTTCATTTCTCTACATCCAAAGTCCTGCAATTTTACCTCTTAATATTCTCTAAATTTATCTATTTTTCCAACTTTACTGCTACAATCAATTTTAAAATGGCATTGTCTCTCATGGACCCCTAGACTAGAGCAATCTTTCAACCCAATGCCCATATAGCAGGTTGGGAGATATTCTTTATTTCAAATAGAATCATGCTATTCCCTATTTTTTTTTTTTTTTTTTAACAACACCCTTCTGTGGATTGCCATAGCTGTTAGGAATGAATACCAACCAACACTTTTAATGTGGTCTCTGAGCTTCAAATGGTCTTTTCATTGCATTTCTCTGGAACATCATCTTAAGCTATTCTCTTTTATTCTTGCCACAGTGGCCTTCTTTGAGTTCTCCAATAATGTTTCCTTTGGCAACATGGTCCTTGTTTGTTTTCCCCTCTGCTAGGAAGATTCTTTCCAGCTAACTAACTTCTATTCATGCTTCAGATCTCAACTCAAATGTTCTTATGAAATCTTTCTGATTCTCAAGACAAGTGTCCTTGTTATCATATATTGCACTGTGTACTAATCTTTACATATAATATACATTATATATTTATTTTTGTTATTATTTGATGTTAATTTTCTGCCAGACTCTAAGCATCATATAAATAAGACCAAATTCACCAAAGGATTCTCAGCATCTAACAGAATGCCTGGTTTTTGATAGCCAATAAATACTTGCTGAATGAACAAATGAATGAATGTTTACTCTTTTAAACCTTAAGCATCACAGGCTTATGGGAACCATGAAAGTCATCTTAGCACTTTTCAGGGTTCAAAGCAATAATTGGTGTATTATAGTACAATTATAAATATTTGTTAAATTAATGGTAAAATGATGGAATGAATACATGATGTCAGTAAATTTCATCACAGTTGAAAATGAATTCTGGAGGCTGTCAAGAGACAGCATAGCACTTAGTCAATTGTTCAGCATAAATCTGCAGAGAAAATTCTGAACTCAACCCCTGTGAATTGAAATTATTTGGTTGCCGTTGGGACAGACAAACTATTTTGAAAGAATCATGTGCTAGACAGTAAAAGATTTTAAACCGAGACCCTTTTCTGTGATGAATTTATTCTGGGATTTTGTGCAGGCAATAGCCTGGCTAGATCTTAAAGTTTCAGTTTACACATTAGAGATAATAATGTATCCTGGATCAATTATTGGGAGAGAATTAAGTATTGTGTGTGTGTGTGTGTGTGTGTGTGTGTGTGTATGTGTATGTAGATATGCATATACACATTTGGGGTTTAATAATAATTTATTACCAAATAAAAATTGTGTCAATGTACATGAAAGGCTTATGCCACCACAGCTCCACTAATTAACGTATTTTTTTTTTTTTGCTAATGACGTTGGTTTTGCAGATTTCCTTAATAAACAAAGAGGTTAAAATTAATCATTCCGTGGTTTAAGCTTTCTCTAAGGGCTTGTTTTGGTTTTTTTTTATCCCATTTAAAATGGGTATGATGAACCTGGCTAAATTAGTATATTTTAACGTTTTGATTATACTTAAATTTCCCAGTAAAACAATCACTTTTTGATTTCCAATTGCTGCTTAAGTAGTAACTAAATTTCGTCACATTTTAATACCCCGTTGCAACCATAAAATTCCCTGGGACCTCAGTTCTAACACAAACAGTATTCCAAATGTATAATATTTATAAAAGCAAAATTATAGATTTCGAGATTAAATTTATAGTCATTTTACATCATACCCTGTTCCTTTAAGTTACAGTTGTTGTCAGTGAAAATTATGACTCAAAGTAAAGTATTTGGTGTTAAAGGGTCTCTGGAATTTACCTAAATGTATTTTATTTCAGTTTAAATTTAATCAGAGGATAATGTGATTATATACCTTTTAGTTTACAACTGTACAGCTATTAGTACATCTACTAAATACTTTAGCATTCCCGGGGAGGAATTTCTAAAAAGGAACCTAAGTGTTACTCCACTGTTTATTTTCTATTTGTCTCAGGTGTTCTTTGTTTCCTCTCCCCCCCTCTTTTTGTCTTTTATGGTTTATTTTAAAATTATGTTTTTTATTATCTATTTTTCCTCAGTAGTAGTTTGTTAGTTGTATACTGTTTTTACTGTATTTTTAATTATGTTGACACACAACCTTAACTTATTAATATATAAATTAGTATTATTATAGCTATTAAAATGTAAGTATAAATAACTTCATTTACTGCTTTCTGCTTTTTATATTCTATATATTAATTCTCAATATGGTATATTTTGTGTGTGTGTGTATATATACATATATACATAGCACAGTGTATATTTAAGTTTATGCACACATTTTTTTCTTTCCTTTGCTCTTCATTTCTTTATTTCCATTCTTTTGTTTTGTTATGTTAATTCTCATCTGAGGATATTTTTCCATTGATTTTTTTAGGTAGAGTGGAAGGGAGAGAGGAACACTGATGTGAGAGAAACACATCGATTAGTTGCCTCTTGCACGACCCCAACTGGGGTTGGGGATCAAACCTGCAACCCATGTACACATGCCCTTGACCTGGGGAATCAAACCCACCACCACAGGCTGATGCTCTAACTGCTGAGCCAAAACAGCCAGGGCTATTTCTATTCTTTTACCTGAAATTATTTTCCTTCAAATAGAAGTATTTGCTTTATATTTTCTTTAGTAAAAATTCTGCTGATGAATTCTTTAAGTTTTTATTTGTTTGAAATTACATTTATTTTAATACATATATACATATACATATGTAATTTGCATAACTATAAATGAATATTGACTATAAACATATATTCCATATAAAGAATTAAAATACCTGATAGCAGTAAAATAATACAGATTTATCAACAGATACAGTGAAAGCCAGAGATCATGAAATCAGCTCTTAGTCTTATTTTTGGTTCT